TGCGGGCTTCCGAGAGGTACTGGGCTGCTCCTGCCTTTCTGGGGGAGAAGAGCCATCATCCAGGGACTGGAGCCCTCCTGGGGCATCCCAGCACCCTGAGTGAAAGAAACACGGCATGGGGACGGAGCAGAGCCAGTAACTCCCCGTCTCCTTTTGCTCACAGCAACCGTGTGACAGGAGTCTATGAGCTCAGCCTCTGCCGCGTGGCCGACGCCGGCAGCCCAGGTGGGTGCACGGCTCTGCCCAGCTCTTTGCTGGGAGGCTGGGGGGCACAGCACGGCGACTGGGGTCGGGGCTGTGTGTCTGTCCTGCCAGCTGTACGTCTGTCCCCACAGGCATGCAGAGACGGCGGCGGCGTGTGCTGGACACCTCCGTAGCCTACGTGCGGGGAGAGGAGAACCTGGCTGGCTGGCGGCCCCGCAGCGACAGCCTCATCCTTGACCATCAGTGGGAGCTGGAGAAACTCAGCCTCCTGCAAGAAGTAAGAGTCTGGGCTAGAAACAGGCTGAGCTGTGCAATTTGCATCTCAGCCCCTCACCCTGCCAAAGCAGGAATTTCCCACCCTGGGTGTCTCAGCCCTCCCGGTTGTGGGGGAGGTAGGAGAGGGCTTCTGCTAGCTGGATCCAAAGCTTTGGTTTCAGTCCCTGAAAAGGTGCAGGCTGGGGCAAGTGGCCACCCCTGAGCCTAGCTGCCTTTGCCCAGGTGGAGAAGACAAGACACTACCTGCTCCTGCGTGAGAAGCTGGAGACAACCCAGCGCCTGGGCCTGGAGACCCTCTCTCCCTGCTCCAGTGAGGACTCCGAGTCTCGAAGCACGTCCTGCATCTCATCCCCACTCTCTGCTGACGGGGCCCCTGAGGGCCGCACTTCTCCCCCTGTGACCCCCAGTGAGAGACAGAAGGAGCTGGCTGTGAAGGTAATATCCTGCAGTATCCCCAGCTTGTGTAGATGAAGCTGGGAAGGGATCCTTATGGGGCAGCAGGGGTTTGCAGCAGGATAAAGCCCAAGAGGAGCTAGAGGAGGAGGGTGGAGGAAGGTGCCTCCTGCCCCACCATCCTCCTCCTCTGTCCACAGTGCTTGCGCCTGCTCACGCACACCTTCAACAGGGAGTACAGCCACAGCCACGTCTGCGTCAGCGCCAGTGAGAGCAAGGTACTGCTGCTGCCCCAGGCTTCACCAGGCTGGGGGGGCTGGGAGGGATGCATGTCTCCGGGTGCTGGCTCAGGGCCAGATGGACACCATGGTGGGAAGAGTCCCTGCTCCCTCCACTTGCCCCCATGTTCCTGGAGCTGGTGGGTCCCAGGGCTGTGCCAGTAAGGGATGCTGCTGGCCAGAGGTCTTGCCTTTCCGTGTACGAGCAGGCTCCTGGTCCTTTGTCTGTGCCCAGCTTTGGGCAGAAGCTCAAATCCACACCTCCGCTCTTTCACAGCTGTCTGAAATGTCTGTGACCCTGATGAGAGACCCCTCCATGCCAGCTCTTGGGGTCACCACTCTCACCCCCTCCTCAACCTGTCCATCACTGGTGGAAGGGCGCTACAACGCCATGGAGGTCAGGTAAGACTGTGGCCAGTAGGTTCAAGTGACACCCTGGCACGTCATGAGCAGGGCAGCTGTACCAGTGGGACACAGTGCTGGTCAGTGGGCATTCTCCAGCCATCGTGCTAATTACACACTGGCCTCCTCCTTTCCCAGGCCCCCCCACGTCTCTTCCAGGGCAGAGAGCCCTGACCTGGAGCCTGTGGTAGAAGCAGAGCACAAGAAGTCACCAGCCTGCCGGCCTGAGGAGGAGAAGGAGCCCCAGCATTTGCTAGTGCCAGACATCCAGGAGATACGAGTCAGGTAGGAGTGGCTGGGGCAGCTAGCGAGAGGAGCCCCTGGGGGCTGGGAGGAATCTTGCCCTACCACTGCCACCTCCTCGTGGTCTGTGTCCCGCCCTGACCTTGGTGCCTTCTGCAGCCCCATCGTCTCCAAAAAGGGCTACTTGCACTTCCTGGAGCCCCACACCAACGGGTGGGTGAAGCGGTTCGTGGTGGTCCGACGCCCCTACGTCTACATCTACAACTCGGACAAGGACGCTGTTGAGAGGGCCATACTCAACCTTTCCAAGGCCCAGGTGGAGTACAGCGAAGACCAACAGGCCATGCTGAAGGTAGGGCACTGGAAGCCAGCCCCGCTCCGTGCTCTCCCCCAGGCGATGGACTCAGCCCTGGCTCTCCCCTGGCAGACCCCGAACACGTTCGCGGTGTGCACGGAGCACCGGGGCATCCTGCTGCAGGCGAGCAGCGACAAGGACATGCATGACTGGCTCTACGCCTTCAACCCGCTCCTGGCTGGGTCCATAAGGTACTGGGGGCAGCTGGGGGAAAGGGGCTGCAGGGAAGCTGTTGAGGGGTGGGGTGGGGGGAGGTCTGTGGGCAGCCAGGGGTACCCCTTGCCCTATTCCCTGGACTTTCCCTGCTGCGGACCCCCGGCCGGGCATGGGGAACACCTCATGTGCAGAGCTGTGCCTGGAGAGGCTCTCACCCAGCAAAATTTGGATGATATTAATCTTGATTTCATCTTCTCCGTTAAATGCTTCGGTCTAGGGCCAGATCCCAGCTGGTACAGAGGCGTTGTCCTGAGTTCAAAGCAACAGCCATGCCTGGCAGCAGGCACGCTCTCACTGGCCCTTCATTGTTCTTGAAAGCAACTCGTGCAGTTCTTGAGAGCATCTCACGTGGCAGGATTAGGGAAATAGGAGTAAATGCATAGAAATTTTTGGGCTGTGGATAATGAGACTTTAATCCCATGTCCCACCAGCTCTGGCTGGTTCAAGCACCAGCCTGAGGCCGGGACATTGAACCTGGGGGACCACGCCTCTCCTTGTCCACATCTCTTTAACACCTTTTGTCCCTTGTTTTCCAAATCAGATCCAAGCTGTCCAGAAGGAGAACAGCTCAGATGAGAATCTAACCTGTAAAACACCCTCCACTTCATCCGTCTGCCAACAGGATCAAGATAGTTGATTCTGTCTCAAGATTCCCATGTTAACGTCTGATCTCTCACACCATCTGCTGCCCCAGCTTTCTGCTCCATGGAAGGATCTGTCTCGATTCATACCTTCATGGGAGAAACTCACTTCAGTTCGTAGCTGCAAAAGCCTGGACCCGTCTGGGCAGGATTTCTTGTGTGCGTGCCATCTTCTGCCTGTCCCCCCATGGGTGACCTTCATGTCATACCATCTGTAATGCTCCAGAAAGGTCCCTTTTGGAGGGGAGGGAGCGAGGAAGGCGGCTTCAGCTAAAAGCTGGTCTTTGATCTACAGAGGTGGGAGAACGGTAAAGCTCAGAGGTGGGAGGACAGGAAGAATTGCCTCCAGATGAAGGGAAAGTAGTAGTTTAGGTGTGTGGATTTCCTAGTTTATTGATGTTTCTGTGGGAGACGGCAGGCTAAGATCAGGTGTCGGTAGTTTAAGATGATAATTTATATTTATTTTTGTTTACATGGCAAAAATCCCTCAAGTTGGGTCCTGGCCCCTGGACAATGCATCCCCCAGGCAGGGGAGAGCCTTGGCAATGGGCCGGGGTCCTGGATATGCCTCCCCTGGGACATCCCTGCCATACGCCCGGTGGCAGGGGATCTCTCACCCTCACCTCCTGTCCTTCCCCAACCTGCTGCTTTGCCCCCCCCTGTAGTTTAAACCACTTTCCCAAGCGGTGGCTGGACAGCCCACCATGTCTTCCCAAAGGAGGCGATTCCTATCTGCCCCATCTACCTCTGGGAGGGAGGAGCTCGCCGTCTTGGCTGGTCAGGTCAGCCATGTCCATGCAGGTGGGTCACTTCCCTCTGGATCTCAGTCCTGCTGGAGGGAAAATGAGGGCTTTGGGGATGGCTCTGTCACCTTGTGTGAGGCCCTCCTTCCCAACCAAAAGCACACAAGCTGTGTCCACTATCCCAGCCTGGGAGCCCCAGGGGCTTGTCCAAACTGACTTCCTCCCTCTTAGTGCCCTAAGAGGTTCCATCCCTGCAACAAGTGTGGAGGCTCGGGTGGCCACTTCCAAGGACAAATGGCTTTGGAACCAGGTTAGGAACAACCATTCCAGTCCACAAGATCCTCGTCGCCTTTTCCCAAAAGGGCTGTCGTGTCCCTTCTCCTGGCAGGAAGACAGGCTAAAAGCAGGTTGGAAGGGCAGGAGAGATCCTGGCATGGGGGTGTCAGGGTGGGGATGTGGCTTCTTTTTACTGTTGTAGCTGGTGTTTTCTCACTCCTCTTCTCCTGCTGCAGAAGTGGTGGCCCGCCTCCTTCCCAGCCTGCCTCCATTGGCACATTAGTCCAGGGGGCTTCCCACAGCAGAAGTGGCTTTGCTGAAAAGACCTTCTCCTCCAGCCATCACTGCTTCCCACCTCCCCCAGCAGCAGCTTTCCCTCTCCATCTCTTGTCTCTCACCCGTAGGGGGACGCTTTTGTTTAGGGGCTTCCTGAGCAGCTGGAAGCATCTGGCACAGCTGCAGGCAGGAGGGCGAGGAGCATCTTCCTCCAGCCATCTCCCAGGCCCCCCCAGCTTTGCTGTCCTGTGGCTGACCTCCTCGCACAGCATGGCTGCGCCTTGGCTCTGCTTCACCTACCTGTGCTGTCTGTGGTTTGTGTGTGTTCGTGTGTTCGTGTCGGATGCGGTGCCATCTTCTCGTTGCACTTGTGTCATGGGGGGCATGGACAGGTAGGGACGTGACAGGTGGGCAGAGGTTTTCAGGGTACCCCTTCTACTGCACATCAGACGCCGTTCAGCTTGAGTTTTAGACGAGGGAAAGGATTTTGGCATTTTTTCCTGAACCCTTTCTAGTTCTGCCCAACCTTGCCACAGCTTCTTGGGCATCTTACCCTGTCACTCCATGCTGAAGCTAGGGTGGGGCTGCTTCTTCCAGCCTCTCTCCTTGGGCACGAAGCAGCTTGCCCGCCCAGGACAAGCTCCCCATCAAATAGGGTTTTTTTTACCCCCCATGTTTCATTTTAGAGACCTGGAGGCTGACTCTTTATGGAGGGAGAGGTGTCTGCCTAGGGGCACAGATAAGGGGCTAGGGGTGAAAACGCTTGGGTGCCCCAGGCAAGAGGGGAGGTTCTTCCAGGGTGGAGGCAGCTTCTGGGAGACAAGGGGCCCGTGTCTGCCAGAGACCAGACACGGGCTCACTGGCCGCAGCCAGAGGGAGGGGCAGCTGTGGGACGCGGGCATCCTCCAGCTGGAGCCGAAGAGTGCCTGAGG